GTGACCGAGGCCTCAGGCGCCTGGAGAGGCGTGGCCGGGGGGCGTGGGAGATGCCCCGGGTCCCTGTTCTTGGGTCTCCCCACCTTCAGGGTCTCGCCTCCGGCCCTGTCACCCCAGCTGCAGACTGACTCTGCCACCTTCCACGGCTCCCAAGTATTGGCAGGGCACGTCCAGCTGGCACTCAGAGCCACCACCCTCTGACCCCTGCCCTCTGACCTCCAGCCCCTGCCTGTCCTCCCTCCTCTTCTGCCTCTGGGCCTCCACAGATGCTATCATTCCTTGTGCTTGGAGCACCCCTCCTCACTGGCCTACTTCCACTGCCTCGCCAGCAGTCGCCTCCTCCTGGAAGCCTGCCTGGCTTCCTCCTCCTAGGCCTGGGCTTGCTGGGGTCCAGCTCCCCGGGGCCCAACCTGAGTCAAGTGAGGGGCCGTGACTGGCTGGCAGAGCTTTGCAGTGTCCCTGGGCCCATTCTGCAGACGGGGAGACAGAGGACAAGAGGGAAAGGATGTGCTCTGGTCAGGGCTCTCCTCGGAACTGGGAAGCTGGACTGGAGGCCAGGCCTGCATGGTCCTATGCCCTTTCCGCCAGGTCCAAGGTCATGGTTCTGTGAGATCTGGGGGGAGTCAGGGGGCGTTGGGGCTCCCGAGATGTAGGCGACTCTGAGGGCCCTGTTTTCTGGGCCAGGTGGTCTTGGGGCCTGAGGGGAGGGGCTGAGGGCAGGAGGGACTCTGGAATGGTGGGTCAGGGTGGGAGGGCCACAGTGGGTGGGCGGAGCGAGCTCTCCCCCCGGACATAACACAGACCCCAGGAAGGCCATCTGAGCCCTGGGAAGCCACCTGTGCCATCTGACCCCGGGCTTGGTGGGCACAACAGCACAGAGGACTCCGGGAGGCTCCCTGGCGTGGTCACTGCCCCGCTGGACAGGTGGGGCCTTTGGAGTCAGGACGGCCAGGCTCAAATCCTCTCGGCCCCGAGCTGGCTGTGACCGTGAGCCGGCCACTTCCTCTCTTTGGGGGCAAAACCTGCCGCCAGGGGTTTAAGTGAGGAGCGAGGTGCCCAGGTCCAAGGTTTCTATTCTGTCCCTGTGGGCGTCCGTCACTCAGTCAGCGTGTGTGTGTGTGAGCGCGGCCACGCAGCGGGGACCTCCCTGGCTGGGGGAGGCCGGAGGGTGGGGCGGGGGGGTCGTGAGGGAAGGGAGGCCAGGCACCTGTCCAGGGTGACGGAGAAGTCCAGGAAGGCGGCCACCAGCTCGGGGGTGTGGTTCCGGGCCAGCAGGGTGATGGCCTGCAGAGCATCCTCCTTGGCCTGGGGGATGCGGACGGAGCAGAGCTGCAGGTGGATGGCCTGGCCCAGGTTGGCAACCTGCGCGGGAGGGCGTGTGGGGGAGAGGGCCGGTCTGAGCGGGGGGGCCAGGCCCGTCCTGGGGAGCCTAGGGGGACGGAGGCCCCGCCCTGGTGAGCGTGGAACTCTCCTGAGTGGCCGTGAGCTTGAGCCTGATGGGGAGACACAGAGCTGCCCAGGGTGGTCTGAGGGAGGAGGCGCGGCCCTGCCTGGACACCGGGTCAGAAGGGGAGTCCCCGCCTGAGAGGGAGAGTCCCACTGCCTTTCGCAGGTACTGAGGCCTTTGACTCCGTCTAAACGTTGCCCAGTCCCTGGAGGAGTCAGACTCACCCACTTGTCACCTCCTGAAGGCGCCACTGGGGCCTGTGCGGTTCCCTGTGCCTGGAGCGCCCTCCCACCTCCTCTCTGGGTGTCTCCCCCTCATCTGTCCACGCCCAGACCCAGGATCGCCCACCCGAGGCTTGGTCTGCAGGACCCGGCATTCGTCACCCTCTTTCTGGGGCGCTGCCCGCCAGGCACACTCCCTCACCTCTGCGTGACCCGTGCTGTCCTGGCTCATCTGCCCGGGTCTGCGCACCGGGTCCCCGAGACGCCGGAGGGTCCTGGCGTGCCTCCTCTACCCAGCCCCACCTACCGCTCACTCAGCGCCTGTCTGGTGTCTGCCCCTGCGCACACCACGGGGCCCAGCACACCTGCTCGGGCCATTCCCTCCTCCCCTCCCTCCTCGGAACCTATGGGGCGGGGTGTCTGTGTCTCCCCGACAGGCTCAAGCTCAGGGCTGCGCCTCGGCCCAGAGGCCCCAGCCCTTGGGTGTGACTGGCCACCCCTCTGCCCGCCGGGTCTCCGCTGCCCTCACAGTCTCCAGCTGGGCCCCGTGCTCCTGGACGGCAGTGAGCAGCAGGCTGGCGGCCGCCTGCACGCGGAAGGGGCTGGTGGAGCCCAGGCCTTCGACGGCCGTCCAGATGAGGTCGGTCAGCTCTGCCTGCGTGAGAAGCTGCATGACCTCCTGTGGCGGCAGGAGGGGAGGCAGCGTCACCCGGGGCCCCTGCCCCGGCGCCGCGTCCCGCCTCGGCTCGTACCCCTGCTCCCCTGCTCCGGGCGCCTCAGTCTAGGAGCATCTCCACATCCTGAGCCCACTCCTCCGGGTCCATAATGGATGTCAGAATATTTATTAGAATCTTTTTTAAAAAAATATATTTTTATTGACCTCCTACAGAGAGGAAGGGAGAGGGATAGAGAGTTAGAAACATCGATGAGAGAGAAACATCGATCCGCTGCCTCCTGCACACTCCCTACAGGGGATGTGCCTGCAACCAAGGTACATGCCCCCGACCGGAATCAAACCCGGGACCCTTCAGTCTGCAGGCCGATGCTCTATCCACTGAGCCAAACTGGTTAGGGCTATTAGAATCTTATTATTCTAAAATTTTAGTGAAATCTTTGTGAGAATGTTAGGCGATTAGTTGTTAGAACGTTAAAATCATTTCAGTGACATATTTGTAGTCTATACTAACTTTTAAAAAGGAATATTAGGCTATTACAAATCTGGTTAGAACATTTGTTAGAAGATTAAATTGTTTTCTAAAATGTCAAATTTTGGTTAAAGTTCTAGTATGTAGAATGTTTGGGAAGAAATTCAACTTGGAATGGTGGTTAGATACTCAGAGTCCCTGAGTCCTGCAGGCTCAGGAAGGTAAACACCCAGAGCATGAGAACATGAGGGGGGGTGACAGTGATGGAGGCTTAGTGGTGGAGCATTGGTGATGGTGGAGATGACAGGGTGGTGGTGGTGATGCTGGTGGTGGTGGTGATAATGGTGATGGTGATGATGGTGGTGGTGGTGATGCTGGTGGTGATGGTGATGAGGATGATGGTGATGGTGATGGTGATGATGATGGTGGTGGTGATAGTGGTGATGGTGATGGTGGTGGTGATGGTGATGAAGGTGCTGATGATAATGGTGATGATGGTAATGAGGATGGGGTGATGGTGGTGATAGTGGTGATGGTGATGATGGTGGTGGTGGTGGTGATAATGGTGGAGATGGTGATGGTGATGATGGTAATGAGGATGGTGGTGATGGTGATGAAGGTGGTGGTGATGGTGATGAAGGTGGTGATGATAATGGTGATGATGGTAATGAGGATGGGGTGATGGTGGTGGTAGTGATGATGGTGATGAAGGTGGTGGTGATGGTGGTGATAGTGGTGATGGTGATGATGGTGGTGGTGGTGATGGTGATGGTGGTGGTGATGATGGTGAGGATGGTGGTGGTGATGGTGATGAAGGTGGTG